GTTCATAGCAGTGCAATTTGTGATAGCTAAAACTTGGAAACAGCCCAAATGCCCATCAACTGGAGACTGGATAAAGAAAATGTGGCTTTTTTATAAAATGGAGTACTACTCAGCTATAAAAAATGAGAAATTAGAGACATTTATAGTTAAGTGGATGCATATTGAAACAATACTCTTAAGTGAAATAAATAGGACACACATGTGTAAATACTGAATAGTTTCTCTAGTGAGAGAAACTGAAAGCGTAAATAAGGATTGAAAGGTATAAGAGATAATGTGAAATAGGAAGAAAAGGGGCAAAGGGGAAGGGGAAGTGGGTGGGAGGGGTAGGGGTAGGGGAAAGGAAAGAAGGGAATGGAATTAATATGAGAAAATGAATAAATGGAAACAAAGTCTTTGTCAATAGGGAGGGATGGAGGGGTTGAAGGGAGGGCAGAGGAAGGGGGAAAAATAAGAACCAAGAGAGATAATGTAAAGGTGCAAATTTCCAATGATGAAAGTCATTATATTGTACACTTAAAATGTACCAAGATAATACAATTTTTTTAAAAAGACTGGTGTCTAGAACAAATAAATTCTTAAAACTCAACAGTAAAAAAGTAAAGAATCAACGAAAAATTGGCAAAAGACGTAAGACAGAAATGTCAGGGAGGAGAGTATACAATGTCAAATAAGCATATGAAAGACATTCAGCATCACTAGGGATAAGAAACATGCAGCCTAAGACCACAATGACATGTCACTACACACCTATCGGAATGGCTAAAATAAAAAGTAGTGAGCACTAAATCCTAGTCAAGATGAAGAGAAACTAGGCCACTCACACTTAGCTGGTAGGAATGTAAAATGGGACAGCCACCTTAGAAAGTTACCATAACACTAAACACATTTACTATATAACGCAGCCTTTGCAGGCTTGGGTACTAATCTCGGAGAAAGCAAAATTATGTTCACACATTAGTATAGACATATGTACTCCACTTTAATTCATAATAGAAAATATTAGACATGGGCTAGATGTCTCTCTCAGGTGAATTGGTAAATGGCCTGTAGCACATCGAAGCCATGGAATACTCACTGCCTGGCAATAAAAAGGAGCAAATGGACCAGGCAAGGACCTGGCTAAATCTTCATAGAATTATGCCACGTGAAAAGTCAGTACCAAAGGTTACATATTGCATAATTCCATTGACATGACATTTTTTTCAGTGATAAAACTTAGGAATGAGGAACAGATTAATGGTTTCTTCTTTCTCAGTGTTTATTGTCCATGCTTGCAGTACATAATGATCAAGCACATTCATCGTGGGAGATTTGTACATGTAAATAACATCTCAATTAGCTTTGTTTTCTCCTTTTCCTCTCCTCTCCCTCCAACCCTTCTTCCCCCCCAATTACAAAAGCTCAATTTCCACTTTTTCCTTCAATTCTTCTTTTTCTTAATACCCCTTTCCCTTCCTTCCCTCTTCTCCCCCATTTCTTGTTCCCATTCCAATCTGAACAAGTTCTTCCTGCTTCCTAATATCTCTCCTCCGTTTTGCTCCTCATTTATACTTTGAGTTTCTCACACAAGAGAAATAATGTGATATTTAAATTTCTGCATCTGATTTATTTCACTTAATGGCCTAGAGGTGTATCCATTACCTAAAAATGTCTAAAGTTTGTCTTTCTCTGCGGTAGGATAGTACTTCATTGCATAAAAATACCACATTTTCTTTATCCATTCATCTGATGATGAGCACACAGGTTGTTTCTAAGATCTAGCTATTATAAATTGTGCTGTTATAGACATGGGTATGTGTGTATTATTGTGGTATGTTGACTTTAACTCTTTTGGGGAGATACATACAAGGGGAATAGCTGAGCCAAACGGAACCTCTAGTTTTAGCTTTTTGAGAAATCTCCATACTGATTTCCACAGTGGTTTCTTAGGGTTGGGGTGAGAATGAGAAGGTGGAAGAAAGTGGGTATTAGCACACAAAGAGTCCTTGGAGAGATAAAACTCTTCAGTCTCTTAACTATGGTGGTGAGTACAGGAGGCTATTCACATGACAAAGTTATACGGGATTAAGCACACACACATGAATGGCAATAAAATTGGGGAAATCTGACTAAGTTCCGTGAATTTTATCCATGTCAATATCCTGGTTGCGATCATAGATTTTACAAGATATTACCATCACGGAAAGCTGGGTGAAGAGTCCATAGATTTTCTCTGTGTCACTTCTCACAACTGTGTACATCTATCATCTCATTAAATATCTCAATTTAAAGGCTACTGGACACACAAAGATACCTTCTTGGAAAAGGAAAGAAATGTACCAAAGTGTGTTTAAAGGAAAAAGAGAAAAAAGACTCCTCAGTCCCTGTTTACACATATAAAGTCTAATGAGATTTAAATAATGTTACTTGACATACTTTCATACTTATTTCTGTGTCCTTTGAGCACTGCCTTTTGCCTTATTTTTCTGTAAGCCTCTTTATGGCAGAATCACATTTGGACTGCTCAATACTTTAGCTCTAGGTCTTGATATCTAATATTACATGATCAAATATTATTCAATCAGTTAATAAAGGAAGTTTCAAGAGATGATGTTAAAGAAATAGAACATTACAATAGTGAATACCCCAAGCAGTCGTAATATCAAAGAAAGTGCCTGGACAAGAGTGAAGCATGGACAAGTGTCACGCTGGCCAGGATTCACAACCCTCTGCCACTGTTCCTAACCAGGTGAGTTACACGATCGTCGAAACCTCGATTTCCTCATCTATGTCAGGAGTTCTACCATTTACTGAAGATATGATAGCAGCTTGCCACATTCTCTTGGAAAATAAATAATTTGAATGGAACACAGTTCAGTCGATTTTCTGAAGCCAGTATTACTCCAGTAAAAAAAATAAGATTCGGGCATAATAAGAAAGGGAAACACAAGCCAGTATTTCTCAGATATATACATACAAAAATCCTCAACAAAATATTAACAAATATAATATAGCCTTATATAAACATAATTACACCATGACCAAGCATACATAGGCAAGGCTGGTTTACACACATTCAAAAATTAGGTGAACCTGGGGTTCATCTCAGTGACACCATGCCTGCCTCACAAGCACAAGGTCCTGAGTTCGATTGCTGGTACCAAAAAAAAGAATCGGTCATGGCCATCCACCACCACAACAGGCAAAGGTAGAAGAATCACATAATCATATCACTGTATGCAAATACACATCTGGCAGTCTGACAACCATTCACTTGTTTGAGGAAGGCAAAATGTAATAAAGTGCAAAATAAAGGAGGGGTAGAAGGAAACAGGGTGATAAATCTTCTGCAAATGGGAAGGGATCCAAGAGACCAAGGGCAAGGAGAAGGGGGAAGGGGAAGGAGAAGGAAAAGACTTTAAGATGTGTTACATGAATGTGCCAAATACCCACAATGAATGTGAACTATATATGTCATTAACGTGAACTAATAATAATAGTAGTAACAATAACGAAAATGGGGAAAGGCCATCTAGAGATGGAGGGAGGGAAGTGGGTGAGAAGGATAATGGGAAAAGAAAGAACCCAGATGTGTTATGTGCATGAACCTACTTCTTTAGATGAAAGTTTTTTCATTTATTCCAAACATGTACTAATAAAAGAAAATTTTAAATTGTAAATTAGAAAAACTTTTACTTTAGTGCCAAAAAATAAAATATGTAATTAAAAGGATTAGAAAAACATTTTCTCATCTTGAAAAAGACCTAATCTACAAATCTATGAAAATATCTATATAAATTGACATATTATATATACATAAAGCTACTTCTTAAATCTATATATCTACAAAAATTCCTATAGCACACATAATCCCTCACACTGAGAATGAGACATTTTCCTTCTAAGTTGATCAAGAAAGGGACGCTACCTTCTTTTATCAACCCTGTTTTACATCATAGAAGTCCTAACTGGTGCCGTCCCATGAAGGAAACTAAAAGGGTACAGATTTTAAAGGAAGAATTAAAATTGTCTCTATTCTCACTGACCTGATTGTCTATTTATAGAACCACAAATAAGTCTCAAAAAGACTTCTAGAACTAATAAGTAAATTTAGCAGGGCCAGGGGATATAAGGTGAATGTATAAAATTGCTTTTCCATATTTCACCAGGCAACAATTTGAATCTAAACATTACTTTTAATTAAAATTTGAAGTGCTATTTACTACAGCACAAAAAAATGAAATACTTAGCTGTAAACTTAATAAAACATTAAGGTCTATATGTGGAAAACTAGAAGATAAATTTTTAGAATATATGAATGTGCTAGGTTATTTCACTCTTCTGAAGATGATGAATTTATTTTTCTATCCCCTTTTCTCTTTGGTTCATATGATCAGTTCATCTTTCTATGAAACTCTTCAAGAAATTGCAGCTGATTCAGTAGAATCCACTGTTCCTGCTCTGAGTCCTGTTGAACCAGGGTCTATGTGGCTTATGGCACAAAAACATTGAAAAGCATTTTGCTGTGTACATAGAGTCTATGATTCGATGATTGGATTGTCCCATAAAGACAAAAATATTTTATTTAATAATACAACAAAGTTTTTAATATATTTTTATCTTAATATACAAAGATTTTCTTTTAAATTATTTTTAAATTGAAAGAATGTATTATATTTATGGTATCTACCATAGGTTCTGAAATATATATTCACTGTGTAGTGGCTAAATCAAACTAATTGCAAATGCATTATTTTACATACTTATCCATTATTTGGGTGAGAATAGTTAAAATCTGCACTGCTCTTAGGATACAACACATTGTTATCAGCTGTCCTCACCATGTTCCACAGCAGATTTTTTGAACTCACTCCTTCCATCTAACAGAAATTTTGCACCCTTTGACAGACGTCTCCCCAGTCCTGCTCCCACGTCCACTTCCATGACTGTTAACTGTCACTCCGCTCTGCTTCCTCGAGTTTGACATTTTCAGAGTCCACAGAGAAATGAGATGGTGTGGTACTTGTCTCTCTGTGCCTGGCTTATTTCACTTAACATAAGGTCATCCAATTCCTTCCACGTTCCTGCAAATGCCCGGGTTTTCTTCTCTGTGGAAGCCAGACCATATTCCACTGTGCACACATGGGCCCATTTTCTTTACCTGTCTCTTGATGAACACAGGTTGATTCTCCAACTTGCGTATCATGATTAGTGCTGCAATGGATGTGTGTGTGCAGTTGCCTCCTTGCCATACCGATTCCATTTCTTTCGGATATACTGTAGAGCTAGCACTGGATCATATGCTAGGTCTATGTTTAAGTTTTTTTGAGAAACCTTCATGCTTTCATTAATGGCTGCACTAATTGATGCATCAATGGCTGCATTAATTGCACTAATTGCAGTCCTGCTACAAACCTATAAAGGTTCTCTTCTCTCCACATCTTCAACATGAGATTGCAAGTGCTATAATGAAGCTGTAAGTGCAATTACACAGAAGTACAGCTTTCTGTGGAAAGACAGAAAAAGATGAAAATAAATGAGATATTCCATGTTTGTGGATTGGAAACTCAGTATTAGAAAGATGGCAATACTTCATAAATCAATCCATAGATTTAATGAAATTCATGTCAAAATCTAAGCAATATTGAAGATATTGACAAACTGATGCTGTTTTATATGGACGTATAAAAGACCTAGACTAGCCAACACAATATTGAAGAACAATGCTGAAAAGCTCACATGATATGATTTTCAGATTTACTCTAAAACTAGAATAATAAAAGAAATATGGTATTGACTAAAGAATAGACTCGGGTCAATGGAACAAAATACTTCAGAAATAGAGTCACACAAATATAGTCAACTGATATTGGAAAATGAAACACAGGTAATACTATGGAGGAAAATAGGGTCTTCAAAAAATAGTGCTAGAGAAATTAGGTGTCTATGTGCCCAAAACATATAAAAAAGAAACTAGGGATTAACTTTATACCTTTCATAAAAATTAACTTAAAATGGATTGTACATACCTACATGTTACATATAAAATACAAAACTATAAAACTGCCAGAAAACAGCAAAGCTGTGAAGCAATGTGAACTTGTGTTTAATGGTGAGTTTCTAGTTGTAAAATCATCTAATCATTGTCCGTGAAAGAAAATATTCATGAGATGGACTTTATTAAAACCAAAAGCTTTCATTCTGTGGGAGACATTAAAAATAAATAGATTAGTGTTGTATGAATTTCCCAGACACAGAAGAAATACCTGCCTCTGGATTGAGAGGGTACTGACAGTCCAAAGAATGCCTTGGATGAGTCCAGTTTGTGAGTAAATGAGTTTATTAGAGGTGACTCAGAAAATAATGACTTTTAGGCTCCGAAATGCTGACCGTCCCCACTTTATAAGCTACTAGTACTCTAGGGTTCTGAGTAAAACAGCATGAACAGGATCAAAGCCAAGAAGGGTTTTTAGGAAAAGCTGTGTGTACTCAGCTCCCCTTCCATCTTCAGCAGGAAACCCCAGCAGTCTCCGAAGCCGCTGTCTACCCACCATGACGGGCAACCTCAGGCTACCGTGTGGGACACAGCATCTGCACCGGTGGGGACCCCTGAATAGCTAAACAGGGTGACACTGTGAGGTGGAAATCCTTTGTCTCGGGTTCAGAGGGCAATTACCACTACCAGATGTAGGGACCATACCTCCTAAGCTCCTTGTATCCAAAATATATTTTTTAAAAAAAAGCTTAAACTTCAGCAAAAAGAAAAAAAACAACTTAAAAAAAGGGCAAAAGATTTGAACAGCCATCTCACCAAAGAAAATATACAGAAGACACATAAAGATTTGAAAAGAGCCTCAGTATCATTTTATTAGGGAATCACAAATTGAGACCCTTGTAACATTACAGTGAGCAACCTGACAAACATTATTTTAGCTGGGTAATGAATATCAACATCAACAGGAATGTCATACTGATAGTATGTACTCTTAGCCCAGTCTAATCAAGAGAAAAATATCACATAAATCCAAGATGAAAGGAGGTCTACAAAATACCTCACAGGTTCTTCTCAAAACGGTCCAGGTTATCAAAAATGAGGAGTCTGAGAAACTGTCACATCCAAGGGGAAGCTGAAGAGACACGACAACTAGGTGACATGCTGAACACTGGATAGGATCTTAGAACAGAAAAGCTAAAGGAAACCTAAGAAAATCTGGATAAAGTATTGGCTTTAGCAAACAATAGTTACAGCAAATATACCACATGATGTTAATGTGAGGGAATTGGGTGATGGGCATATGAGAATTCTCTGTACTGTCTTTTCAATTTTCCTGTAAATTTAAAACTATTCTTTTAAAATGAAGTCTCAGTTTACAGGATGAAAAAGTTCTGAATTCTGTTTTACAACAATGTGAACATACTGAACACTACTGAATTGTAAATTTTAAAATGGTAAATTTTATGGTTTTATACCACATTTAAAATTTTGAGCTTATTTTTAGAAGTCAGCATATAATTATTGTAGCTTGTAATCAACAGAATTCTTAATGACTATAGAGTCTGGGCCAAGCATTTCACAAAAATTCTCCAGTTGAATCCTTACAACCCCATCGGGTGGGTAGCATTACTTTGTTTCCCACTTACAGGAGGTGAGAAAGACTTGAAGTCAATTGCTGTGGTCACATTCATTGCTGGGTTCCAATTCCCAGAGCAACATGGCCACAAATCCACGTTCACAGCTACTTGGTTATATTTGTAACTATCACTTGCAGTCCTTCACAGCTCCAAGGAATGAAAACAAACAAACAAACAAAGTTAGAAAAACATAGAGGTAAACGGGATAAATGCTAAGCTAGTAGAGCAGCCAGCCACTTAGCGAAGAGGCCTGGCCCATCCTTAGCCACAGTAGCATTTCACCAGCTTATAGGTTGCTGATCCCTTTACAATCCGTCCTGGTGCTGTTATGTCACTTACACTCCCCATCTGGATCATTCGTATTCATCATACAAAAACCAGAAGGGAAACTTGCTATACCCTGAGGACCAAAAAATCCTGACGGTAATACCTTTAAACAAATGTTGCATTCCTGGGAAAATTAGGCTTCACAAGCTTCACCATGTTACTCTTTTAAAAGGAGAGTCCTTGAACAAAGGCAAGTAGTACCCTAAGCACTGGATTGACCCTCATTTCCTTAAACAAAGGAAGTTGCAAGTAGTTACCTGTCTAAGAAGCCCCTGCACAGGGCAGGCATGAGCTGGATGGAAGGAAAAGCAATTTTCACTTCGTGAAACCTCACATTTCTTTTCTGGCACTGAAAAAAGGCAGAAAGTTCCTATGAGGTTAAACTGGATAGTTTCTTGGAAGTAAGGGCTGGAAACACTTGAGGAAAAATATTTCAAATTCTGTCTGATCTAAAAAAAAGCATGAATTCTTACTTTTAATATGGAAAATCATAAATAGCCAGAATAGGTCCCCATTTGGATAAGGCAGGCCATGTGAACAGAATATGGAAAATGCATAAATAATTTGAGTAGGAAAAAAATGAACATATTTTCTATTAGAAAGAGCAAAAAAAAAAGTTAAGCCAGGGTTCAAACTCATTGGCTTTTTCCTCAGCCTTAGATTTCACTAATTGCAGTTTCAAGGACTATTAGGTGAAAGGAAAGCATAATCTCAATTACCAGGGTTCAAATTTCAATGCAGTTACGTATGATCCATACCTTACTGCAGTGTTACTGCATCTTCTCCATCGTTGCTCGCACTTTGTCCTCTGGCTTTCCTGGAATTGAGAAAAGCTCATTAAAGTCTCCTTCTGTAGTTGCTGCTTTTTGAAAGATGTTGCTCTGTAATTGGATGAAAAGATGATAATTTCTACACCATCTTTGTGATTTTCTGCCTATACCACTATGAAACATCCTAACCTATTATAAGGTTCTTGGTCTTAATTCTACTTTGCCTATATCAAGACTGTTGATTTTTCAAAATGTGCAACTACCAAAACTTTTTTTCAATTACCTATTCTTTTATGTTTAACTTTTGAAATCATTCAGTTGTAGGTATGTTCCTTTTAAAGAGTGTAGAGCAGGACTTTTTGTTTTAGGGGCAGCTTGATAATCCTTATTTTTCCTTTGTAGTAAGAGAGGTAAGCCTGCTTACTTGTGCTCATGTGACTGATATATTTGGTCTCCGTTCTGTCATCTGTTTTATGATATTTTTTACTGCATATAGAAAGTTGGCCACTATGTGTTACTCTTTTTAGCCTCTTTAATTTTTAAAATACATACTAAAGTATTTGATGGTAAAATGATATAATGTCTGGGATTTACTTTAAAATATTTCAACCATAAAATATGGTGTTTGTGGGGGATAGATAAAATAAATACAGCAAAATGTTGATGGCTACTGAAGCTGATATAGGGGTTCATTATAGTTCTTACTTTTATGTGTGTGCCGAACTTTTCATTTTTAAAACCATGCTGCATTTCAAACAGTTATAAAAAAGAACTTTTTCCATCGGTTATATAAAGTTTGCATGTTTCTTTTATTTGCTTTCACAATAAGCCAAGTTGTATCTCCATGAACATAGACTTGAAATAATTAAAATGTAAGAACATCATAAAAACAAGTGTTAGTCTCTAAATCAAATAAAGACCCTTTCTATTGCCTCAAGCTCTGCAGTAAATTATACATACTGTAAATGAGTGCAGCTTCTTTTAAACTTATAAAAAAACAATTTTGTCTTTGTGAGAGTTTTATAACTATATCCAACAGCCTATAAAAAAGCCTGTCTTGATGTGGTTCCCATGGCGACAGGACATAATATATGTGTCCATTAAATTTGGAAATGTAATGAAGTGTAATAAAAATCTACTTCAGAAAAACACACTTCTCAGCATATTTTTATTAATTAAAATATTACATTGAGCATTTTTCATGTCTACATCCCTGACAGCAAATAAAAGCTTTGCCGCAGATTAACTGTGACTCTTGAGTGCCATCCAGTATTAATTGGTACAAAATAGGAAAGGCATTTCTGCAGAGAAAATATTTTGACTGCTAGCCCAGAGTGATTAATGGGTAAAAAGTTATGCTTCCTGAACTATGCATATACCATTTCAAATGCCACCAGCAATACACATTTTGACACCTGTGTCCATGGGAACAAGAACAGACATGAGAGTGGATGTTCTAACACTTGGGAAAGAGGAGAAGCCCCTAACTGGTAATCCCTCACCCAGACATGCCAAGGGTGTGTGGCCATTTCTGGCCATCGAGGAGGCATGCCATCATAATAGCAGTTTAAGGAAGCCCTATAAAAGCCAGGCTCAGTGGTGCACACTATAAATCCAGCACCCTGAGTGGCTGAAGCAAGAAGATCATGAGTTCATGTCTTGCCTGGGCCACTTAGCAGACACTGTCTCAAAACTAACAAAAGAAAAATTTAAGGGGCTAGGAATTTCGCTCAGTGGTTGAGTATACCTGGGTTAGATCCCCAGTATCACAAAAAAAGCCCACTATTAGTCAGTTTTCCTGTCTCTGGGACACAATAGCCAACACTACAACTCAAAGGAGGAGAGGTTTCATTTGGCTCATGGTAAGGGGATTGGCTTCATGATCGGCTGCCTCCAGGAGCATCATGCTGGAAGGGAGTGAGGGAGGAGGCTGTTCTCTTGGGAGCCAGGAAGCAGAGAGAAGAGCCAGGCGGGGAGACACACCCTCCCAGGTCGTGTTACCAGGAGCCACTCCATACAGGCCCCATGGCCTAGCAGGGCATCCAGCATGAGCTCAGCCATGGATCAACGCACTGGTGACATCGCCACCCCCGTGATCTGATCGCCTCCCGACACCCCTGCCTCTGAACACGTGAGGCTTTGGACAGACACTCCAGGTCTAAACCATAACAAGCCCTATATAAATTCAAGGGAATCAACAAAAGCAAAGCTACAAAAGCCATCTCTGTATACCACCAGAAAACAGAAGTTGCACAAAAAGGAGATGTGAAGGGGAGGGAGGACCAAGGGTAATACTCCAGATAACTCTCGCGACTGACTTGCAGTGATTAAAATTCTAAGCAGAACAGAGGGAAGGGTTATCCTCATGACAATGAAAGTCATCTTCACAGGAGAAGGAAATTCAAATCCCTCTGTCTGAGCTTCTCTCCACATCTGTCCTCTCAAATGAACAATATCTGCCTGACTTTGACATATTTAAAATCACATGGAAAGCAAAGGTGGGAAAAGGGTACACAGCTTCTGTCTAAACCCTCAAAGAAAGAAGAACATGAATTGCTTCTCATAAAATAATCCGAGCACTGTTTGCCTTTTGCTGTCCTTTGCTGGACCACCTTGTAGCAGCTCCCGGAGTCTTCACCATCCTGGTGCTATTCTGTGAAGAACTCACTGATTAAACCACCCAGAGCATTTACTCGGTTAGAAGATTAATGAGGTGGGCTCCCTAGATCATAAACTCTCACCCCCAAGTGCTTTTAAAATACTTTAACAGGATTCCCATTTCTTAACCACACCTTGCAATCCTATTCATTATTTTTTGGAATTATGGAAAATATCTAAAATGCCACTGCCCCTACTTACATAGTGCCATACTGAAAAATGAAAGGAAATACTTGGGCAGGATATTTATACCAGACCTTCTTTGAGGGCACAATAGCAGTATTATATTAAAACTCAATGGTACAGATTTGCCTTGCCGTCACTCTGGAAAACCAACTGATGGCAATCCACAAATATTTGGTAGTTCCCAAATCAAAAATTTTCCCCCTACTGGATCAGGAGGCTTTTTGGAAGTAACTCCAGGATTGCACATATTTCAAGGTTTAAAAGAGAAAGCAAAAGAAGTGAGGAAACTGAAGACTCCAAATCCAGTAGCTCCTACAGCCACGGAGCTCAGCCCTTGCTAGCAACTCTGTCATACGGTGAGGCCAGGTGTAGAGCACACTTGTCTCCCTACCCTAGTGGAGTGTGTCTCTACCAGCGTGCATCAGCACTCTCAGAGTGGGAACTCCAGCTCGGCTTCCTTGAGCTCCAGTGCGTATACTCCAGCTTCTGTCTGTTCTGGGTTTCTAGAGGGCTCCCCTAGACCCTGATGTACTTAGCAGTATATCTTTGGTGGTAACTTTGTCTGTGTCCATCTGCCCACTAGCCTGAGAGAGCTTTGATGGAGGAAAATGAGTCTTACCATGTGGGGCATTCCACTTTTCACAAATATTTAACACAAAAACGTTTATTTACATAAATACAGAAAGTCTTAGTGATCTATTGTAAGCACATGCAGATCGATTCTGTCAAATGCATAATGGCATACTTCATCCCTTGCACCTCAAGACCATGTTATCTGAATACCCGATGCATGGGGATGCATTACATTTTTCTCTATATTCTTCAACCGTCTGAAATACTGCTGAATTGTTAAGCATGAGAATGGAAAAAGGGAAAACACATATACATACCTCTACCTATCTGGACCTATTTATTTATTCACGGTGTACTTTTGGAGCACTCGTGAAGTACAATAGCAGGCTTGGTCCTAAGCAGGGACAAGGGGAAGTGAACAAAATAGAACGTTTTGTACCCAGAACTTTGGACCCAAGATGATAAGCTCCTAAATAAACAAAGGTACCACGCAGTCTTGGGTTGTCTTGTCATGGGTGCTTGTAAAGGAAATACTCATATGAAGTCATGGAATGGCTGGAAGGAGGGATGGGTGACAGGAAAGTTCCCCAGGAGGGGTAATTTGATCAGTGTGGATTCGGGCCAGTGAAGAAGGGACGAAAGGTATCCAAGGAGGCAGAGCAGGGGAAAGATCACGGCAGAGGGAGTAGGCTGCCCAGGAAGTGGAGATTATATTCAAACCTTTGAGCACTCGTAGAACCCTTATTAGCAAAGAAATGACAAAAATATCTCTTAGGAAGGACCACTCTGGCTATGGGTAGACAATGGAATATGCTGTACCAGGCGATCAAGTGGAGGACTCTTAGGAAGGTTGTGCTACGTTTACCCCAGTGGGTCTCACTCAGGAGTGGTTTTGACAGATTCTAAGGCCCTATTCTCAGGCAAAATATGGACATGTTTTTGGTGGTCATAACTGGGGGAGAGGGGTGCTACTGGCATCCAGGGGGCACAGAGCACAGATGCTGTCTAACATCCTACAGTGCCCATCTGTGCAGACCTGATGAGAAAACCTGACAGACTCTATAGGGATCTCCTCTTTGACTTCTTGGTGTCATGATACGAGCAATAGGAGGAAAAAAAGAGTTACATAAATTCTAAGATGGTGTGTTTATGGGAAGCCAACGTGCACACTATGGAAATAAAAGGGCAAACAGGAGAAAACTGTAAAACTACGCTACAGTCCCTCCAAACATGGAGTCGCCTACCAATGTCACCTTTTGTCCCAAGAGCAAAGACATTTTGCGCTAGAGACCAATTGAATTCCCTTTAATATTATATTACAGGCTCAACAGGGCAACCCTCAGAAATGAAGAATGCACAGCTATTTATTAGTTTCCTCTAATTAAGCAGCATTTCACTTAGATTACATTATATTAGTACCTAGAAATCCCTGAGGAAGGCATGTCTTGTCTTTGGAAGCATCTTCCTTTCTATAACTTGATAATTTCTCTTCAGAAATGTGAATCTGTTCTCTGTAACAACACCTGGACCGTTTATATTAAGATGTCTACAAAGTGCTGTTATTTCACAGTGGACAGTGTTACAGGCTGGTATAGGGTAAGCTGGGGTTTTCAATGATGAGACTGACGTG